AGCATATTAATGATTTTTATTTTGAAATCCCTTTCAGGAAGATTCATGAGGTCGATTTCATTTGAATGTTTGTCAGGTGTTGTATTCGTAATTTTACTCTGTACCAGGTTCCTTTGGCATTTCATATTTGTATATGGCGCCCTCTAGTGCCCAGAAGCTCTACTCTCTGAGGCTGCTCAGCCCCTGAGGCAATGTCGGGGGTTGCAGGGGAGCAGTATTGGTGCCTGGGGGGAGGAAAGAGCTGTTTCCTCCTTCCTGGCTGCTATGCCTGCCTCCACTGCCAGAACTAGTGGGCCAAGCACACAGGTATAAGCCTCTATGCTTTGCATTTGTAGTTGCTGTAGATGGGGCTTCCCTCTGGCTGGCCTAACACCAAGGTAGAGTTTGCTGGTTTGCGAGCCAGGTGGGGCTGGCCTGGAGAAAGGCGCAGTGGGCTGCATATAATGGAGGAGGTGTCCTTCCAGCTGTGTAGCCAGCCAGGGAGCTGGAGCACCTGAAAATCGAGAAAGTTCCCCACCTATTGGACAGAGTGCACCTGGACAATTTTGTCTACCTATCCTTTCTCCTGAGCAGTAACCTCTATGCAATCCTTGCCCTTTTAGCAGCCTTCTTACTGTTAGGAAGTCTCTCAGACTGTCCGCCTTTCTTTTGTCCCAGATCAGCCAGATAAGCATCCCTGCTTTCCACAGGTGGCTGGAATCTCAGTCTCTCCAGGTATTCTGCCTCTCTTAGCTTTCCAACCCCCTAATCACGAGAGTACCATGAAAGTACCATCAAATGTAGGTTTGTGCTCCCAGAGCAAATCTCTTAAGTTAGGTATTCAGCAGTCCCAGGCCTCCACTCCCTCCCTGCTCTGTTTCTCTTCTTCCCACTGGTGAGCTGGGGTGGGGGAAAGGCTTGGGTCCAGCAAGGCCACAGCTTTGGTATGTTACCCTATTCCGTGAGGTTTATTCTTTTCTCCAGGTGTATGCAGTTTGGCACAGCCCTCTTGCCTGTTGCTCTTTCAGGATTAGTTGTATTAATTATATTTTCATATTATATGCGGTTTTAGGAGGAAGCCTCTGTTTCACCTCTCATGTGCCATCTTTAATCCTCCTTGTGTTTTGTTTTGGTTTCAGATTATCATTAAATGTATATACTAATTTTAGAAACTCTTACTGAGAATTTATGGATGCCTCAGAGTAAGTCTGGTGATTCACAAATCCCAGTTTGGGAAACTGTCTAATAGGACACTCTCATTCCCTCCCTTGTTGGACAAGGAGCTATTAGTCATCAAGGCCCCTTTCCTGGGGACTCCCAAGGGCCCCAAACCAGGCATCTCTGTAGCGGTCCTAGAGCAAGAGGAAGCTTTCCGGAGGTCTCCAGGCACTTCCTACTGAGTGAGGCATCTTTATTCTTCCCCTGAGGGAAGCCAAAAATGAGCTCATGCTTCCAAAAGAGCTAGAGCTGAGACTAACCAATGCTTAGCCACCCCACCCAGGGCATCCACACCCTTGTTCCCTGGCAAAAGAATCCCAGAGGAAGACCCCTCTGCCCCCAGGTAGACATGGATGAAGAGCCTGCATGAATTGTCTGGAGACTGAAATCACACCCCTCAGCCCATGGCTGCCCATCCTTCTCACATCTGTCCCCAGAAGATTGTCTGGAGCCTACCTGAAATGAATATGCTGGAATTTCCAGCAGCTGGAGGACCTAGCTGGAGTCCTGCCTAAGCCAGGACACTGTCATTGCAAAAAAAGGACTGAGCAGGAGGTGGCTCTCACCTGCAAAGGCCACGGTGGGGTGCTCCCTCAGGGTGCACAGCTGCTGCTCACTGCTGGGTTCACTGGCGACATCTTGGGAGCTGGAGAGGTGGAACACCAGCAGTGTGAGGCTGGGCAGCAACAGGGTGGCAGCCGGGGGTCCCAGGAACACCATGGTAGGCCCCTCTGCAGTCCTGGCTCTCAGAGGCAGGCTGGGGGAAGACCTGCAATGCAAATAACCTCACCACAAGCTCCCTCAGTAATGCCCACATCTCCCAACTTCCTCCAATGTGGTCATCAGCCCCATAGGTTTTGTTTGTTTGCTTGTTTGTCTTTAGAAATAAATTTATATTTTGTTTATATTATTTAGAGTTTGGTAATGTAAAGTTATAGATCATATCTTGAAAACTAATTTCCCTTGTAATGGTATTCTGGACAAACTGATAAATTATAGAGCCTTTTCTATTATGCTCCCAAATAGCTTAAAATTAATATCCTAGAGATTTTAGTAAATGGAGCTAGGGCAAGTGGGTGGCCTTTTGTAAAAAGATAAGTTGGATCCATACTCATACCTTATACTAGGAAAATTTCCAACTGGATAAGATATTTAAATGTTACAAATAAAACCATAAAAATACTAGAAGAAAATGTGGGTAGAATGCTTTATAACCTAGGAGTGGAGAACCATGACTCAAAATCCAGAAGCTATTAAATAAAAGATTGACAAATTTAACTACATAAAACTAATAAACTTCTACATGTCGTCTCTCCCCAACAAAACAAATACCAAGCAAAATCAAAAGACGAATGACAAACTAAAAAAATCTTTGCAATTCATATCATAGACAAGGGACTAATAGCATTCCTAGTATATAAAGAATTCCTGGGAATCAAGAGGAAAAAGAACCATAATCCAGTAGAAAAAGGGGCAAAGAAAGTAAGTATAAACAGGATTTCAAAATACGAAAGACTGTTTTCACTCAAAATAAGAGTAATACAAATTAAAGCTTAGACTAAGATACCACTGCTCACCTACCAGATTAGCAAAATCCAAGTGAGATGACACACTCTTGGTGAGTCTGTGGGAACAAGGGCACTCTCATCTACTGCAGGGGGTTGTGCAAAATGGGATAACCCCATGGAGAGGACTCTGGCAAGATCTGGCAAAACAACAGAGGCATTTACCCTTTGACCTAATTTCTGGGAGTCAAACCAGTGCTACTCAAAGTGTGGCCCACTGACTGGTGTTGTTCCACAAACTGAAATGACTTTGTGGTAAGATAAATGCAGGCATTTGAGAGTAAGTGTTTAAAGCCTTTACAGTAATTTAGCATCGTACTTTTTATGTCTATTGTATTTAATAACAAAATGTTTAGGCTTGTATTTTATATTTGTTAAAAACTCCCTTCTCTAGTCATTCACTTTCATTGATTTTATATAAGTATCCATCTGTGACAGACTGTAAATTAAAAAGGAAACCTTCACCAGATAGTTGAGAAACAAAAAAAAGACTACAGAGGTGCCATCACATGCACAGGTGACTTATACACAAGATCATTCCCTATGGCATTCTTTGAAATAGCAGGAGACAGGAAATAGCCAAATAGCTAGCAGCCCGAGACTACTTGAATAGCTATGGTATATCTTTGTAATGGAATACTATGCAGCTTTAAAAAAGAATGAGGATTTTCTCTAAAATATGATATGCAGTAATCTCCAGGTATATGAGTGAAAAAAGCAAGGGGGCAGAGAACAGTGTAATAGCATGTGACTTTTGTGTTAAAAAGAGGGTAGAAATAAAGACTATATATTTATATTTGCTGAATAACATTAACATACAGTGGAAAAATGAACCAAAACTGATTTTTTAAAAAAGGTTACCTACAAATAGCAAAATGGTCATCCAGGCTTCTCAATATATACCTTTTTATATTATTTTCATTTTTGTGTATTAAATATGTTTAATATTACCTATTCAATAAAGATTTTAAAAACTAGGTTGTTTCCTTAAAACTTTTACTATGGAGCAGCCCGCCAGCTGCTCTGGAGACCTGCCTTGGACCCTCGGAATCAGCTCCCACGTCTCCTTTGTTGGCCTATCCAATGTGTCATGAAGCCCTGTTGGCCCCATGGCCCTCACAGGTCTCTAACCCATCTCCTTGGTATCATTTTCCTCATCTATGAAATAAAAGGTTGAATTAGATCAGGGATCCCTCTGGGGGCTGGGAGTGAATGAGAATCACTTCCACTGGGGGTGGTGTCCTGGGGCCACAGGTGAGTGATCCCACAGGTGATCCTGTGAGCCTCCCCCAGGACTAGAGGCCCATGGACTTCCTTCCTGCTCCAAGACCCTCCTCTCTCTTCCCTTCAACCTGCTACTCCCTCACTGCAGGACTGGAAACGTACAGTAGGAAAACTTTCTTCCTGTTTCTTCACATGTATGTGAAATGGGATAACACCTATCATTGCACTGATTCAAGGCTTCAAGGATATACCCCAGTGATGACAGTCTGGGCACCCAGCAGAGCCCCCTTCTCCCTTAGCCTGTCCACTATGCATCCCAGGGGCATTAGTCGCTAGAACACCACTGGTCCCCTCATCCTCAGGTTCAGTTGTGGAATTCTCTGCCCCTCTGCAGGGAAGCCTGGCCATCCCTCTTAGCAGAGACCTTCTGGAGCAGGACTGGCTCGACACCCACTCCCTGGAGCGATTTTTCACTCTCTGGCTCACATGGAGTGAGTCCTCAGGGCTAAGCTGGGTCCTTCTTGTTGCACGGGGCTTGGCACTGCTGTCCTGTCCCTGGTGCCCACCACCTCCTTTCCTTGACGCTGATTCCTGGCCTAAAGGAAATGAGGAATCAAAGGGCAGTGCCAACTCTCTGGGGCCAGTCAACCTGATTTCAAATCCCAGTTCTTCTTATCAGTTGTGCGGCTCCAGGGAAAGATACTTACCCTCTCCCTGCCTTTGTTTCCTCAAATTGGGAGTACAAATAACAGTATCAACTCCTTCAGCAGTTGTAAGGGGTAAGGGAGTTACTGCCTTGGAAAGGCCTAGAACAGTGCCTGGCTGAGAGTGCACATCAGTTAGTGAGCGCTCCTCTGGTGCCTAGGGGGAGAGGGGCCGCAGCCCTGGGAATTCCTCTTTGCCCTCGGGCACCTGTGCAGGTGCCTTCTGTTTGTCTCTCTCCTCCTCCCTGCTCTGTGCCTGGACTGCTCAGGGGCCTCCTTCCCTCCATTTCCCCAGTGGGAGGCACTGGCAGAAGTTTGGGAGAAGGCAGGAGGCAGCAGAGGGAGCAGCTGTATCCCTCTGCAGGTCAGGTTTCAGCTCCCTGCCCCTCCCTTCATCCCTCACTCCCATCCCAGGGGTCCTGCACAGGGAGGGCCCCATATGGTTCCCAGCCCCCTTCCCACACCTTTGTAAATAGTTCCTGGATTAAACTGCCCTCACAATTCCCAATCTGGGTGTGCCATCTGCTTCCTGGGGGACCCTGGCTGATTCAACACCCAACTGGTGATAGTCAAAGCATACGCAAATAGCATCTTTTCAGACCTTACCTGGGGCTTTCCTCCATCGGCCCCTCTGGGAGCTCTAAGGTGGTGTGTCAACTGCCCTCCCCTCATTATTCCTAACCCTCACCTGCCCCATGTCCCTTCCTAGGCCTCCCTGCCTCCCCAACCCAGAGTCTGACCATCACTCCCAGGGCTTCCAAGCCTGGCCCTCTGTGGCCAGACCCTGAGCTCCTGAATTAAGAGCACACTCTGGGTCCTTCTCCTCAACAAGGCCCCAGGGTTTAAAGTACTGAATTTCTGCGGCCGAAGTTCCACTCACATTATGGCCTTTATGTAACTATGTCCTCCAAGTCCCTCCTGAGTCAATAATTGATAGATTAATATCACTTCATCCACCTGGGCCCCAGCACAGCGCACATTTGCTGTTTGGTCAGAGAAGGGAACACAGCACATGAACGGGGTGAGGAGGGGCTGAGGGCAGGAGCTGGCTTCCAGATCTCCTCTCCACAGGTGAGGCAGGAGACGGCGGGGAGAGAGCCAGAGCAGCAGATGAACGTGCACACCACAAACAGTCCAGAGAGTCATCCAGACTCCGACAAGCAGGCTGGTGCAAATCAGGGAGGGGCAGGAAAAGCCTTTATGCAGACGAGCTTCCCAATGCTTTGCAGCGCAAGGCAGGCCAAGGAGCTGACTTAGGGATCCCCAGCGCCTGTGCACAGGCCTCTTTGCCGGCACCTTCAAGGACTTCCACTGCCCTTGGCAAGGGAGCCTGAAGACCTCAAGAGGCATGCGAAGGAGGGACCGACAGAAGGAGCAGGGCGTTGAGGAATGGGGCTGGAGTGCGGGGTGTGGGTGGTCAGGGCCCAGCTCAATGAACCAGGGCTTGCAGCAGAACAGGGGTGCCCTGCCGAGAAAAGGAGGGGTGGTCAATCCCCACCTCCCTGAGAGTGGTACAGGGTCTGACTTTTTGAGCAGAATCCTAGATATCTGGGTGAGGGGTGGTGACTTTCCAAATCCCAAGAATTCTGTATCTTTGGAAATTATCTCCCATTCACGCACAGGTCAAAGGTGTAGGCCTCAGGCAGCCTCATCCCCACCCATCATACCTGCTTGTACCAAGGATAGTCATGTGGTCAAACAGATGCTCTCCCATGGGGTATACCCCCCACCCAGGGTCAAGTCAGTCTTTGTAGAGGAACCTGGAGCATGTAAGATGGGCCTGTGGGATGGTCATCTTCCCCCTGTCGTGGGGGCTGAGGAGAGGAGCAGAGGTAATCTGAAGACAGAGACCAGTGGCAGGAGACAGAGAGCAGAGACTCTTGGGGATGCTGACAACCTTCCTGTTCCCAGCTCTAGCCTTTTCCTGGTCAGACTACATTCTACTTTCAGGAGCAACCCCCTCTTGGATCCTTCAAATAAAACCTCTCGTTTTTGCATAAGCCAGTCCAGTCCCAGTTGCGTCAGACCAAGTTGCCCAGCCAGTGTCCTTTCTTGGTGTCCATTCTTGCCTTCTTCCTTCCTAAGGTGCCCCTGCATGGGTAGGGGGTGGGAAAGCCCTGCTCAAAGCCTTTCTCAGCCTCCCAGACCAGGGTGGCCAGTGAGGTGCAGGAGGAACTTGCCCATGGGCTTGCGTGGAGGTGCCATAAAAGGCCTTTCCTTCTTCCTCCTGGGCCACAAATGGGACGAACCTTTAGCCACGTGATAGGGCTGTGGTGCAGGAAGATAGGTGGGCCCTGGCATGTTGATGGCGGGTTCATCTCTGGCCTGTCTACCTCTAGACTTCCTTCGTATGTTTGACCATCACACTTTTGTGTCTGTTTCCTTGTCTGTAAACTGGGGAGAAAAACACGTACCTCATGGACTTGTGCAAAGATTAAATGAGTTATTTGGTCTACCAGGCTTAGAACAGCACCTGCCACAAAGTAGGTGTTGTTTAAGGGTTGGCTATTATTATTATTATTATAGAACAATTCACTCCTAATTTGTTTAGGCCCTTGTGTTCAGGTCTCAGTTATCATTAGCCAAGTGCCATTCCTATCCCATACAATTTGATTTCTCATACTTACAACCAAATATACCTACAACAAACAGGAATTTCTATTTCTACATACTTGTCTGATCTATGTTTAAATGCTCCCAGAATTTCTCCACTGGCAGTGCCATCCGATCTTCCTGAGAGCTGTAGAGAATCACAGAAAGTCCTGAGCTTGAGAGGCTGCCTCACTTGGTGCAAACCTGAGTTTCATCACCTGTAAAATAAGGCCAGTAGTTCCCTCCCTGCCTTGAAGAGATGCTTGTAACACATTCAGAACTAAGTCTGGCACAGAGTAGGCCCTTGAAATCATTCCTATACTTGTCATATACATAAACCATTTAGCTAGTTACCTAAGTGTCTTCCCAGGTTCATCTTTGCATAGAATACTTCACCAAGCATTAGCTGAATACCTACTGTGCGCCAGTCCCAGTAGAGATAGGGGAAGTGAGGGATGGGGACACTCACAGGATGGAAGTGTGGTCCCTGCCTCAAAGGACCTTATAGTTTAACAGAGGAGAGATGATATTTCTCCAAGGAACAGTGTGTCGCCAGAGACAGTGACCTGGGACCTGGCGTCTGGATGGGTAAGGGGACACAGAAAGCCTGAGCTGCTCCTTGGTTAGGAGCCGCTCGTCACTGGCACCCTGGCAGGGTGCTCTAGGAATGGGGGGAAGAGAGACAGCACCAGCTGACTCCTGCTATTTTGGGAAACCCTCAGTGAAAAGAAAGCATTTTCCCAAATCATTGGCCAGAGCTTCTACCACTTTCTTTCCCACTGCTGTCCCAATTCCCTGTGGTCTCCAGGATAGGGTCACCCTAATGGTGCCTGGAGGGGTGTGAATGCATGTGCAAGCCTGTGACAGGGAACACGCCCCCACCAGGCTCCCCCTGAGGATGCCTCACCTTCTATGGGACTTCTCCACGGCTCATTTCCCAGCATGGACAGTGGGAGGAGGGTTACCTGAAACCGTGGGAGGGGATGGAATCGAGGAGGGGAGCAAGGGAAGGGCAGAGGGCCAAGGTCTGAGCTGCTATAGGCCCTGTTACAGAGGGACCTTCGTGCTTCTCTCCGGGGAAGAGGACCAGGGGAGACCAGGGTGGAGTGGGGGTGTAT